TTTTCTTAATTGAAATCCACCCTGAGGACGGATTTCTCAGAGGTGAAATTCGTTTTCAGATCTTGCGTTTGAATGCAAAATGCAAAATCCGGATTTCCCAATCGAACCCAGCCTTAACCTCATTTATTTTTGAAAGTGAAATTTTTTGGAACTAGGAATTTCTACATCTATTAATTACTGGCAATGTTAATCCAGATTCAAATGTGTCTGAATAGTATGAACCTTTACAATAATATGGGGGACAAATTGGTAAGCCTTAACAGCATACAACCATTTCTAGTGTACAGAGTTTCTAATATGATGCGAAAGTGCGGGTTCACTCATTTAAATGGCATCTCTGATTACATAATCCTTACGAAACGGTACAAATAATAGAAATGCATCTGAAGATTAAAGATATACATATAAATATACTTTATAATATAGCAGAAATATAGGCGAGTTATATTGGCCACATTCTATCCAACATTCTGAGAAACCACAATTTTGTGAGTGAAATTTGATTTAAACAGAAACAAACATATTTTAAAATTACTGAATGAAAAATTTCGGATGATAAATTTAATATTGCATAATATTGAAAAAAGGCCTCACGTAATAAGCTTAGTTTACATGTCCAGAGATTTTCTTTCCTTTTGTTAGCGTAAATAATCTCTATTATCTTTTAACAGTACTGATGGTTAAGTCTTAGCTTGATCTCAATCCTTTTGCTAAGCTGCATGAACAAAGCTTTTTAAGTTGTTGTAAAAAATTTTTGGTGAGTTATCTCAGGTTAGAACCTGTAAGTATAGTCCTGTTCTCAGAATTTTTACTCAGCAGTACAATTTTCTGCGAATATTTTCATTATAAGGAACTTTTAAGAGAAACTTACCCTGATGAAATGTCCCCCAAGACCTTTAGGTTCCCGAAGATTTCTCGCAATCAAATCGACAACTCTACTTTTCAGGGAAGCCATTTTCCAAAAGACATCTGAACACTTCATGTAAGCTCTACTAAGTGAGAGCTTCGCTGTCTTTCTCTTGTTGAACATATTCGTCCGCGAGGAAAGAAGTGAAAAAACCTAGCGTAAATTCTAATGACAGAAGGAAATACAAGCCAAAATTTATGATACAAAACAGAAACACAAGCCTAAACACAACTGAGCTAGCCCAAGCCGATGACCCACGAACCCATACCCCCATCTAAAATACATGTTTGATGTGTGGCACGTGGCACGTGGAACGTGGCACGTGCACGCACTCGTTCATTCATTTCACTCCAAATTAGAGAAATTTTGTAAACAAACCCTGGAAAGAATGTTCAGCTCTAGCTAGTTAATCGGCCTATTGAAAACACAACCAATGTTTATTTTTTTATATTCTTTGGTTAATTTATAATGCAATGAATTACTTTAATTCGCGTTGTCTTCAAAAGTAACTATATCCACATTATGGGTGGCTCCTCCCACTGGTATGCATCAGTGCTTTAGAGGGCTGAAGCCACGCGCGGGGACCCGCGGAAACCACGCACTTTCCTCAGAGACACGCCCAGCGAGTGAAAAAATTAAAATTATGCTCTCGGTCTATTGTGATTCAAAAGAAAAATAAGAGACTGCTCGCAGTCTAGCAAGTCCGGCTCTGGAAATGGTGCCCGGCTTCATAAATCCTACACCAACAGATAGACAATTTAAAATCGTCCAAAGTCCCCTTTGAAATATTCTTATCTGTACGAAATTACGGTATCAAGACGAAAATAAAAGTAGATGTAACTGGTCCTTGTCATGTCATTCTTAAAGAGGACTAAAAGTTGAAAGGTGTACAACTAGCGGCTGAGCGAGGCCCATTTCCTTGGTGGTGAGAGGCGAAGAAAAGCCGCCACCGCCTAGATGAGGGGGATACTTGTGTATTGCTCAATGTCCCAAGATGGCGAGCCAATGCGCAACAACTCACAACAACACGCAACAACATTCAACTGGGTGTGCAAACGGACGCAGAGACGTAACATCCAACAATTTTGCGTCAGTTAGCACGGGCGTGGGCTTTCGTCCCCGAGAATTAAAACGAATAATTCTTTAAACCGTAAATCAGTGATTAATTGAGGTGTAGGAAAACTCGCTTTACTGAGTGCAAAAAGCGTTCTTTGAACCTCCGAATTACCTTTGCTATCTCGTGTGATTCAGCAACACCTTGGGAATTGCATGTGATGCTTCGTTTACCTACTACAAAGCAGAACCAATTGATAAATGCTCAACTTGTCTTCGGTCAAAACCTACTGGTAGTTTATCTGCTCGGGGTCGTGACAATTTCAGCTTTTAGGTGCAATGTATATTTTCCTCAGTCAACTAAGCATTGCGTTTTTTTCTTGTTTAACTTGATACCAGACAGTAAAACCTATTGTTGCCCCATTTTTCTTCGGTTTTCGTTTTGGGGATCCAATACCTAGCGTTTTTGTCCCGTATTTTATTTTGCTCACAGGGTAAATTCTGTCTTTCAAGACCGGGGGTTGTCCTTACTTTAATCTCCACTCAAAAGATGAGAGGGGCGAAAAGATAAACATTGTGCCCTTTTTTATCCTTTTTACACTCAGTCTTGCAAAGTGTACCCTCTTTAAAGAAAAAATACACTGATTTTGAATTTAATTTTTCGGTGTTTACGTAAACAGCATGATGAAGCTTCTGTTTGCGATATCACTGATGTCTGTTTGCCTGTTGCCGTTCATGGCTCGCTTTCGTGGGCTTTGTTCATCGTCAAGAAACGATTGAGGAAGACAGCGTAAGAGACAATCTGGGACTCGCTTCTCCTCTAAAAATGCAAATGCAACCAAAATGTCTTAAGGATGGAGAGAGGTGTATTGCTTTTTGGGAATGCTGTAGTTTCTATTGTGAAAATTGGTTTTGTGCTTCAGGGGTACCTGTGCACCCAAAAACAAGACTCCCTCTTTAAATTTAAATTACAAGTTCTTGTTCTTAGCAATAACGTAACATCAGGCAAAGCAGTAGGAACTTCGTGAGATATTTAAAATTTGCATTCAAAAGATCGAGAGAATATGCTGTGCTCAAAGGCCTCAAAATGTTCAAATGAACAGTATAGTACACTATGACTCAGAATTGTGCAAAGGTAACTTAGGTATGATACTATTGATGTGCGGAATATGAAACCTTCCATATATACAAATTCTGCCATATCTTACAATAATAATCTCGTCTTAAGTGGTTGATTATTCAAATTATTATACATTGTACTCACTATCTGTTTTCTCACCGGCTAAGAGCCTTTACAGATTAGTTATTCTGCTAGCAGATAACTAACTTATCTGTAGGTTGCGCGAGCAATGCATTATTTCTAATAACACTATCAATTCAGGTTCCTTCAAGATTGCGACCGTGTGTTTGTCGTCGTTATTTTCTTCAAAACGATGTATAATAAAACAATTATTAGATTCGGTTTTTGTTATATCCTAAATAATCAAGGTCTCGGTAAGTGTTATCAGCCTCGGCCTTCGGCCCGGCTGATAACACTTACCTCGACGATCTTGCCTTATTCCGGATACCACAAAAACCTCAGCCAATAATTGTTTATAAAAGCCTTCTGTTTTTAGATGATATTTACGATCAGTTTAGGTTTTTGAGGAACTGCCCACCTACCCCTCCCCTAAGCCAACATTTTGCTCTTAGTGAGAAGTAAGTGTTAATGCTAGATCAGGGAAGGGGTAGCTGGGCAGTTTCCCCAGAAACCTAAATTGACTCGATGTTTACAAAAAAATCACGGCATAGGTAATCACAGCGATCAAACTGAAGAGGAAGAAAAACACATTGTCCAACTTGATGCACACTTTCTGCCAGGTAAGCTCCTCAACTTTTTCCTCTGATCTCTTGTCTACCTTTTTACTCCCCTGTAAGTGTTCGAAGTTTTGAATCATCTGGTGACTACTACCAGGAGACTCGACACCAGGCAGATGCGTCCCATTTGCGCTGGAGACATCTTGAATCTGCGCGTCTCGTTTTCGATTCTTTTTGTGGAAGAAGCGGAAAAGGCGCTGCAACCATTTCGGTGGATGGTCTTCCATGAAGAACAGCTTGAGCACGAGGATATTAGACAAGAGTACCATACTCATAATCACCATTGTCGCCATCAAGTTTATTCCAAGTTTAGGGACAAAACTCGAAGTCTCCGGGAGGAGAGATGACATCAGCAGCAAGAACACTATCATGGCCAACAGAATTGTTGTGACAAAGCCAATTCTTTCCCCACTTTCCACTGGAATGAGAAAGCTTGTAAGATTGAGAAATAAGAGTATAATACAAGGCCCGACCAGATAGAACAAGTAGTACAAAGGCCTTCTTGCTATTTTCAAGGTGTAGACGATCTCGCTGAAATTAGTGTGACAGCAGTTTTCATGGTCGGTTGTCGCAGTACTAATTTGGATGTCTTGTAAATCCCAGTTACCATTTGATAAAAACCGATCTGTGAAAGAGTTAAGTTAAGTTCTCAATAAGCACAGTGTTTTGATTCGCTGGACAACGTAACCAACTTAAAGCTTCCTGCCCTCACTAAAAACTGTCGCTAAAAGTGACTTCGCGTTCTTTGAAACTAACTTCTGAGTGCAGTTGTGTTTACTCGCTCAATTTGTCTAAGGTGAACTCTCTTGGAGATGAATATCCAAGTTTAAGAGAAAGAAAAAGTCGCCGTATGTTTACGCTATCAATACAACGTGAAATAGGGCAGTTTCACGTTGTAGTCGGGGGATGTGCAGTAAAAGAAATGTGCAAAAAGCTTGATGCATGTCTGCGCAATATCGCCACTTTAGAAACGAGGGGAAACTGGGCCTGGTTAAATTTCTCAAAGACCTCTTGGGGTGCTTTCCAATTCAACGAAAACTTTCGAAAATTTGGAAGCAGCGGTACTTGGTACAGAATTTTACCGCAAAAGTTTCTAGATATTCCGGAAATTGTTAAATTTCCGAAAAGGGGAACCATTTAACCGAAAATTTTTGAAATTCCGGGAGCAAAGTTGAATGGAAAGAAAACTTCCTGGAAAAATTTCTCGAAAATCTGGGTATACCTCGGGAGGTTGTCCTATTTTGGGGTTTCATTTGCTGCTGGAAGTAGCCCGCTAAGCGCGGGCGTATTTTTTCGGAAGGAGAGAAGCGACGACCGGAAATACCTCTGCGCTTCGCAGGCTATGCTGGAAATTGACGAAAATTCAAACCGGAAGTTTTGGCTGAATAGAAAGCGCCCTAGGCTATTATCAGGGACAGGGAAAAAAAAAATTGGCCAATGGCTGACCACCGCGTTCCTAGAAACTATCCCAGAAACACTTGCGAGACCCATCTAGGCTCCAGTTCCCGACTCGCTTTTTAAAGTCAGGTGGCGAATAGACCTTTTTACCGATACGGCGGCCATGTTGAATTAATTCGATTTAAAGAGTATTATAGGATGCCCAGGGGGCATGAGCACATTTCGTTCGTATTTTCGAGCGCTTTTGGGGACATTTTTTCTTAAAGGTTTCTTAGAATAAGATTGTAATGGGAAAACAGATCCTTGTGCCATATTTCTGATACTAAACTAGAAAAAGGCGATCATTATTACGTCAAAACACGGCACAAGGATCTTTTTTTTCCCATTACAATCTTATTCTAAGAAAACCTAAAGAAAAAATGTCCCGAAAAGCGCTCGAAAATACAAACGAAATGTGCTTATGCGCCCTGGACATCCTATAATACTCCTTAAATCGAATTAATTCAATATGGTCGCCGCATTGGTAAAAAGGTCTATTTTAAAACTCTTTCAAAGTCGCCAACTTAAGTTATTTGCGTTCAAAGTAGCAAAATTCAGGACTGGTAAAATTTGTCCCGAAATTGCATTTACCATTTGTACAAAACAGTTCCATTTAGTGAAAAACGGCCACGAAGGCCTGAAATTGATGGTTTTGAAGAAATGGAACAAGAGTTTCCGTTTGGAACATTTCTGCTGACAAGACTATCTTTTCAGATGTTCCGTTGCTCCAGGCGGAAATTTTTCGTTGGAGCGACCCAAAAAGTCGCCTATTCTGTTTACTTTACAACCAGATTTTCCAGAAATATTTGTGCAAAAAAACCGGAGAGTACATTAAAACAGGGCAAGCTTACCGCTTAACATTTCTTCATAGCGCCGAGCTGGCGGTTGTTTGAGGGTCATCCTGTCAGTTCCATATGTATAGGAGCCGAACATAAATACACAGGTTTGGTTGTCAAAGGGCCAGTCTTCGAGATTTAGTTGGCAGGAAGCTGTCAAAGTGGTCATACCGTTAAGAATGCACAATCCAGTACTGTGTACTTTTACTTCTGTGGCAAATTCTATTTTCCCTTTTCTTGAATCGTCATCTTCAGCGCTATAGAGAAAAAATCATTTGGGGAAGAGAACATCGTTCAGTACAATTGTTTAGGTTTCTGTCAGAGGGGAGGAGAAGGAGAGAAAGAGAGAAGGAGTAATTACGTCACGTTGCCACGGTAGCAAAATTTCTGGATCTCGACAACCTGTGGTCTTGCAAATATGACAGAAAAAAAAGACCGAAACTAATTGACACGTATCACTATCCTGTGCATGATTGCATTCGGGGACAAAACGGTAGCCCATAATTTTATTCCATCGTTCGACAATGCAAATGGCCGTCTCTGTCAAGAAAGATTATTGAGAACCAGAAATTTGCTACCATGGTAACGCAACGCCACACTTCTCTCTATTGGGGTACGTTTTGGTACGTCGTACACAACGTGCAAGCTAATGTTGGTCAATTATGTTTAAAAATTCATTCTACACTACTTACTTATTTAAAAGCGAAATATCTGGTGTCCAGACCTCATCAGGCCAAAAGTGTATAGTATAGTTTCCAAATTTGCTGGCGTTCCACTGCAAGAATTCATTTGTCCAAGTCTGAAAAAAATGTAGTAGCAGTGTAAAAATTAAAAATTATAATGGATCACTAATCTTACTGAATTAGGGGCTAAAATGAATTCTGTTGTTGGTTGAACTATTCAGCAACCTTGCCAGTTGCCAGTTCGGTATAAAATCGAAAAATCTACCCTTTTGCCCACTCCCCTTAAAATGCTTGTCACCCCCCCCCCCCCCCCCCCAAAAAAAAAAAAAAAAAAAACTGAATGGACACCAAAATAGACAAATTAATCTCGGAGTTGTTGGGAAGAATTTTGAAATTTCAAACTAGACGACTGATCGGCGCATAACTTACGATGAATTACGGTAAGTGTAATACTCGGCAAAATGCCACTACTGAGAAGAAATATGCTGGTTACCTGTGACATCCACGCATCCACAGCAATGGTCTCTGCAATGGTGTCCTGTGCAAGCAAACCAGAAGTGACAACGATAAACGACAAGTCTGGACACTGCAGATTGTCAAGACATTTTTACTGTATTAGAGCGATTTTCGTATGACCTTGAAAAATGAATTTGGTAAGTGTTCGTTACTTATTTTATCAGCCAATGGATGAAAAGATCAAAACATGGACTCTTCGTTTTCCCGCCAAAGAAAACACTAATATGGAGGAGGCATTGTTCGATTGGCCAATCGTGTTGCAGTATGACGTCAAAGCTAAGTATCGATTGATTTCTAGAAAGTTCTCGGGCATGAAGTTTTTTCACCCGGGCATTCGCTGAACCAACCAAAAGACATGCGCGTTTGTATCCGTTCGATAAACCAATCAAATCACTCTATTCCCGTCCGTTGCTGTTTATGTTTTGTTTGCACGTTTTCAATTCAAAGTCATACGAAAATCGCTCTATTAGAGACCTTTCAAAATAGAAATTCACATGACCTTCACGTTTTGATGTACCCCAGTGTACAGATTAGGCCTTGTCCACACGAATCTGAACGTTGTAAAATTACTCAATTCTGTACGCAAAACAAATCAGGGTCGGAAAATAGTGTCTCCTGCATGTCTTAACAAACAGGATAGGGAAATGAGCAATTTCGGTTTTAAACAAGGTCGGGGGTTTGAAGGCCTCGGTGGCACAGCTCTCTACCCAGACTTCCGTTGAGTGCCCCGCCGGGAGTTTCGACAATTCTGATTCTGATTTCGATTTCGATTTCTTTGCTGCGTGATACTTACTACCTTGAGTAGCTTGACAATTCTCAATTTAAAGCGCACTTCCATTTTTTTGCCTGTAACAGGTAAAACTATTTTGTCGTAATTTTCCAGAAGTTTGGCCCTGATCAGATGCTCGGAAGAACCATTTGAAGAACCTGAGACACCTTCAAGAAACAAAAGATATAAAATGTGAAGGAACTTTTTAAGGAAAAGTAGTCATGTCCTTCAGAAAAGCTTGATTCTCTTGACCAAACAAAGAAAATTTAAATTATTATACATCATGTACTAGCCTGCATCGCAGACGTAATTTAACTCCGGTTTTACAATTAAATGACGTCTGCGAAGTAGCGTCGACGCCTATTTTCGTTTCGTAAACGGTTGTTACCACCGTTGGTATTTAACAATTATTCCTCGAGTCCGAATCGGCTCTGAGTCAACAGCCATGAGGCCGAAGGCCAAATGGGCTATTGACTCGGAGGCCAAGAGGGCGAGAGGAATAATTGTTTTAGTAAAATTCAACCAGTTGGTCAAAAATATCGAGACAAAACAACTTTAGCTAGCAAAAAGCGATTCAGCCGCCACTGTTTTGGTTTTCAAAGCCGGTGCTTTTCGCTACTAGTGGGCTATAACATATAGCCAGAAACTCATGAGTTTCTGATATAGCCTAGTAGTAGCTCAACCAATCAGAACGCAGCATTGAAAATAGACCACTCACTAGTTGGATTTTACTAAAGTAATATATTCCCAATAAGGGAAATAATACGTTTTTGAATAGTTGTAGAAAGAACGACGTCGAAGGCCAAGTTGAAATTGAAGTATAAGTTAAGTGGGTGGATAGGTGTGATAGTGTAGTGGTAAGGAAGAAAATGGTAAATAAGAGCATACGAAAGGCCCGAGTTCGTGCCCGGGTTTGATCCTGGCCGGTTGTGTTCTTCTTTCTTTTTAACAGAATCACTCTCAATAACAGGTCAAGAATTTTCCAAATGGCAGCGACCGTTTACGAAAAGGAAATTTGCAGCGCCAATATCCTCTGTTTTTCTGGGCCCCCAACGGATCCAAAGATCGGTAAGCGTCCTTAATGTCATTTCACAGACTCATCTTACAAGCCAATCATGGCACGTGCTCACATCCTGGAACACAACTAGGGGCCCAGAAAAAGGATTTCGGAATTTGTTCGTCTGCGGCACAGGCTAACATTGTACTCACTATCTGTCTTCTCCTTGGTCAGTTATATACAAGTAGATAACTGACCCGTAGGTTGCGCGCGCAGTGTATGATTTCTAAGAGCAATGTCAGACTGTGTTCCGCGCGACATGCCTCGTACCCAGGCGTCTCTCTCTCGACGAAACTTTGCCCGCAAAGGAAGAAGGGAAGGAGAAAACGGGCCCTCTCACTTTTTTATGGTCCCTTGCGTTTCGTCAACACTCACTTGCGTGTCTCTGGTGTTTCACGCTAGCCTCTGTGCGAAAACGAAGCGCCTGAGCAGATGGCTGCCGTACGACGGTGTTTCTTCAAAATACTGTCTTATAAAACAATTATTAAATTCGATTTTCTGTCAATTCCGGAATAATCAAGGACTCAGTGGGTATTATTAGCCTCGGCCTTCGAATCGGCTAATAACACTTAACCTCAGTCGACCATGATGTTTTCGGATATCACAAAAACCTTACCTATCTTATAGTTACCAAGAAATTTAATGAACAAAAACTTTGAAGATGGCAAGGATGGAAGACATCGAGGAACGTTAAAACAAATTGTAACGGATAGATTTGAAACGTTTTTCGCTGTTTTTGGTAACGCTCTTGAGACATATCGAGACATTTATCGGCACGGTTCACTTTTCTTAAAGCTGTAATGTTGTCACTTAGATTGGCAAAAGAAATCAAGAATTACTTTAACGCGCTACTTTTGATTCCCTATGGAGCAGTGATTGTCTGTCTGGAATGCAAAAATGACAGCCAAGGTCCTCAACGTTCCATCTTGTTTCTTTGTCGGGGCAAAGTTTATGGAAGATCGATATATCGGTGACGTCACGGGTCATGATTAGACCCACGTTAGGACTGAGTCCGAGCCGAGCCGAGATCGAGAACACCAGGGTACTAGGCCCAGAATGTTCAGGACCTGGCTTGCTATAGTGGGAATGAAACAGCTGTTTACTGCTGGAAGCCCTTTTTTGTTGTATTACTAGTGTCATGCAAATGTTTCGCAAAGTTGAGTATTGTTTAAAAAACGAGCAGGAGTGTATTATCAGGTTTAAAACCTCGAGGGGAAGCTGAGAGTTTTTTGAACGGCATCAAAATCTATGATATATATCAACTCATTCCTGCACTAATACTTAGATTTAGGGTTGCTTTGGTCTTAAAAGTTGGGCGTAAAGTTTATCTGTGTCTTTATCAAATATAAAGACACTCATTCAAGATTTTTTTTTTGTTTTTTCTTTACGAATTATTAATGAGTTTTTAAAGTTTCAGCACGTTAGAAAATTTTAAACGTTTTAAGTCTTTTATTCAAAACTGTCAGGGAAACTTGTTCACGACTTTATTTTGCACAAACTCGTTTATAGTGAATTATTGCTACTAGCCAGTTTAAACATACTTGGACGGTTCTATGTACTAACTAGTTTCTATGGTAATCGTTTAAATCTCTTTGCATTCCCAGTAATTTGATCCTGATAACATAACAACAGAAAAACAAACATCTTTTGAGCAACATGCCTGTAAATGCTAAATAATAAATGAGTGCTGTTTCAGATTTTACTCAAGAAACCCTCAACAAAGTAACTTTAGTGAGTTCAGTTAAGTTTGTTATATGCCGAGTACGACCCAGACCAGTCCACACGAGCTTATAACTTTGAACGAGCTACGTTAAGAAAATTTCGTTAGTTTCCGTTGACAATAGATTCAACATATATAATAGTAAGACTTGGGGGATATGAATGTCCTTGAAGCTAGTGACTGCCTAAAACACGCGAAGTTAGTTTGAAAACTATTCACTGTCCAAAGGCCCGCCCTCAGGCATCAGAGAACACTTGAACAGCAGTTTGAAACTTTTCTCTCCGGTTTTCTGTTTTATTTTAAGTCAATCTCACCAGGCACGTGAGCAAATCAGTGAAAAAAAACCGAAATATTTTTGTTCCGGCTAAGAAAACAGAATTAGCGGAAAAAGATGCTAAACTTACGTCTCAATTCGCAGACCATAGGATTTCCTACCATGGAGAGGAAACTGCTAAACTTAAGTTAGAGATAATCAGGGATAATGGACTCATGGCCGTAAAAATTGCTTAATTCATGACTTTGCATCGACGCTGTCTTACTCTTTAAAAAAAAACAAAAAAAACAAAGATAAAGGCGTTTCGTTAACTAACTAAACACGTAAATATTTTTATCTCAACGCATGACGTTGTGTTAAAAAGAAACTCAATTTAAAGCTCTTGATGATCTCAAATTAAATATCGTTCTGCTTCTCCTTTGACTTTTAATGGAAGATTAACGCTTCAGTAACTGGATAGATACAACCAAAAAAGAAGAAATAGTCTTCTAATATACTTACTGTGAAATAATCCATACAAGTATAGAATCAGCGCAAGGTAATACATTTTACCACAGCCAGAAATTTCTGAATCTTATTAACTCTTAGCTGAAGGTTAGCTAAAAATGTTTTGGCACTGATATGATGTAAGAGCTAAAGATGATTTTAACCTCCGTTTTGAAGACTTTGTATGTATGGGCGAGGCTCCCAATGGCGCATTTGTTTTCCAGTTGTAAGAAACTTTAACATTTAATACTCTCATTAACCAAACAGATCAAACAGGCTATTTTTGACCAATAAGAGCTGGACCTTAAGACAATAGTCAGGTTACTAATCACGTGACTTAAGAATGGTTCTTAGCGAAACGAGTTTCCTTGAACATCTCTAGTATTAAATTAGAATGCTTTTTAACTTCAATGTTTATCTCATTTTCTCTGCGGTATACCTAGGTGTTTTGTTAACAGTCACGCACTTCCTCTGAGTCCTGATCGGTCTGTTTGTTTTTCTGGTCGTCATTGACTTTATGAAATTAGATGAGCATTGTTATCTCATGTAAAATTTACAAGCTGCATAATAGTTTATTTTACTAAAATGAACGTAACTTCTTTCCTCAGTGGGGTACTCTAACTAGAGTGTTTTCTCAACAACGTAGGTAATTGAATGCATTCGCTGCATATTTCTCCCTGGAAATAGAGAGTCATCAAAGTTTTTTTAAACTTCTTGATATTCTTAAATTTTATAACATTGTTAAACTAAGTACATGCGTATGTTGCAGTTCATTTTTTATGTCAGGTAATTTATGTTTTTCTTTTGTTTTTGGGTATGGTATTGTTGGCTAATGAAGTTGAAACAAAAGCAAAAATTACCTGAAATAAAAAATTAACTACAACATAAATAAGAAATGCTTTTTGATTATGAAACCCCATAAATGACGAAATCTATGAAAGGTAAACGAGATGAAGATGTCCTCCATGTAAATAACTAACTGACTCTGGGCTGATTATAAATAATTCAAGACTGTAAACTATTAAAGACACCTATGGCAGTATTAGGCTAGGCTAGGTTAAATAACCCAACCCCTAGTTTGCACCAAAAAGCAAACCCTGTAGGATTTTGGTCGTAGTAGTAAAATGACGTCATCATACAAGAAAACCTGAGTTTCTTGCATTTTCCAAACTGAAATCTGAACGACCAAGCAGTCAAGTACTTGTACAAAAAGATCTAAGAATTTTCTCGGTTTTTGTTTGGTTTAACTAAGTAAGTTATTTGACTTATTTGACTTATTCCCCTCGCGCGCTCTATAACAACTGAGTAAGTGCGTAACCTTGCCGAGTATAATGTGTTCCACAGTTTTACATGTAGAGGTGTTTTCCAAAGTGGTATATGCTTTATTACGAACCCTTTGGCTCTATGAGTAGATGACTAGGTACGAGATTACAACAATTAGAACGTAGAGGCCAAAAAACACCTTATCCAACTTGATTGACACTTCCTTCCAGGTAAGCACCTCCCCTTTTTCCTCTGATCCTTTGAGTTGCTTGTCACTCCCATCTGGGACCTCTGACGCTTGGATCGTGTGAATGTTTGCAGGAGACTCAACACTTAGCAAATGCTGCCCATTTGCGCTGGAGACATCTTGAATCTGCACGACTCGTTTTTCATTCTTTTTGCGGAAGAAGCGGAAAGGGTTCTGAAGCCATTCCGGAGGGTTTCCTTCCATGAAAAACAGCTTGAGTATGAGAATATTAGATAGGAGTACCATACACATGATTACCAATGTGTTAAGCATGCTAAACCCAAGCTTAGGAATCCCACTCGAAGTCTCTGGAAGGAGAGATGACATGAGCAAGAGGAACACCGTCATAGCCAACAGAATTGTAGTGACAAATCCAATCCTCTCTCCGCTCTCAACCGGAATAAGAAAGCTTGTGAGGTTGAGAAATAAGAGCAGCCCAGAGGGCCCGACCAGATAGAACAAGAAGTACAAAGGCTTTCTTGTTATTTTTATGGTGTAGACCATGATGCTGAAGTCAATCTCACAACACTCGTCATGGTTAGTTTCCTCAGAAGTGACGATCACATCGTCAATTTCCCAGTCTCCACTTGTTATAAATCGATCTGGAAATGAATGAGGGAGTAATCTTACAACTCAGAAGCATGCTAATAACGTAGCCTCGTGTACTCAAATATTTTTTATATTAATGCTGATTGATTGATAGACTTTCAAAGAAGTCCTTCGTCCGATTGATCTCTCGCGACCTCGTGGCTCGCTCGCTTAGAATTCGAAACTCTTGAGGTCGACTTGTGGAAAGTCTAATAGATTGACTGACCGATGGAAGGAACCGTATTTGTCGAACTTAGTTTAGGTGACTGGCCATTTAACCAACTGTATGGTTAAATTATTGGCTAGTTAAAAGTTTGTCTGACGGCCTGTCTGCCCAAAAGTGGCTCTGTGTCTATCTGTCTGTCTTTCTTCACTGAATCTGAAAGTTTCTATATTAACTAAGCTCCTAGGCTACGAGCAGCTCCTTTCCAGTCGAGTCGAAGACTGGAGAGACGAAGGAACGAGAGAATTAAGAATAGGACAGAGGAGGAAGGTTAAGGGTTTGTGATCTCCTTTATAACTTTCGCCTATAAATTTGTATTTAAAGAGAAAGGCGAAAGTCATTTACTTTGGGAGTCATTTGTCTGCTGCCAAACATCACAAGCTTTGTTCTACCTGGGTTAAGTAAGTTTTCTCTTTTATAATGCCTTGCGCTACTAAATTTTTACAGCTAAGATTATTTTCTCTTATAGAGACGATTTGCCTAAATTCAAATTCATGGCTCAAAAGTACAAAAAGTCCACTTGCGGTTGACCTTCGTCGCTCAACAACGTCGCTGCTTACATTCTCTTAGTATTGCTTTTTGAAAAACTTACCACTAAGGTCAGCCCCTAGGCCTTTGCCTCTCTTTGGTGCTTGCTTTATGATCATTCTGTCTTTGCCAGACGTAAAAGAACCGAATGACACGTTACATGTTTGGTTATCAAAGGGCCATTGTGTGAGCAGCAGTTTACAAGTGGCCTTTATAATGACCGGTCCTCTAAGAAGGCAACCTCCAGTAGACTGCACGCTTATTTCCCTTCCATAGGGTGTTCCTTCTTCATCAGATTCATCATCTCCGCTAGAACACCCAACAAAACAAGTTGCGTCATTTAGCGCAGTACAAATTGCTTCATATGTCATACGATAGAAAAAAAAAAGACCACTGTTGTTTTTAAAAAACACAACTTAGGGATTTCAAATGATAAATGAATAATATGGCAAGACATCTGAGACAAAACAGACTTGATTCAAGGTTTGAAGTAAGTGTGTCAGCCGAGCCTTCAGACCTTGTTTATTTCGGATATCACAAAAACTGAATCTAATAATTGTTTTATTTTTTACGAAAGCACACACAGGATCGCACGGAAGACAGTTTGGCATTCATTCTTGGAAAGAATGCTATGTGTGCACAGCCTACAGATTAGTCGCAAATTTGCTCGCAGATAACTGACTAATTTCGAGACTAATTTGGAGGTTGCGCTTATTTCCAAAACAAACTGTATACTCTCAGCCAATGACAGTCAGTAATTCTAAGCCAGGGCCTCGGTCGAGTCGGTGATAAGCACCATCCTTTTAATTTTCGATCCCTCGCAATTTTTTGCAGTACTTACTTATTTAAAAGGGTTATATCTGGATACCAGATTTCTTCCGGTCGAAAATGTACTACTCTAACTCCGTTATAATCAGTCTTGTTCCATTGAAGGAATTCATTAATCCAAGCCTGAAAAGAACAGTAAAATGTCAGTTTCTCAGTGTTCATTGTTCCGAAGTGTTTTTAATATTTAAAAAGGGTGCATACTGTAAAAGATCGATTAAGCGCCGCTACTGGAATAAACGCTCAGCCTTAATTTGGGCATTTACAAAATAACGCCCCCCTTGTCAAAGGTTGATATAAAGAGATATCAAAACCATATCGCTGGAGAAATACGACTTGACCAACTCGTGAGTTCTAAAGTTTACTGCGCTTTTCACAAACATGCGAACACTAAAGCTCAAAAGCCGCCTTCACAATTGCGTTTTTCGCTGCCGTCAATCATAATTACGATCACAAGCAACGAACCTTGAAACCGAGAAACACACAAAACGGATCGAAATCCACCAATCACAAATCAGAAACCATGACCTTTTGAACCTGTTAAAGTAAAGTTTTGTGTCCTAAGAGGTCCGTTAAGATGATTGACGGCAGCGAAAAACGCAATCGTCAGTTGACTTTTGAACTTCAGAATTCGCATATTTGTGAAAAGCGCAGTAATGTAAGGAAACTCTTAAAACGGAGTTCATCATATTCGAGGTGTACTTATTTCATACTGAAATGTGCATACTTAGCACGCGCCTCACTTAATTCTCTCTATATTCCTCTCAGCGTTTTACCTTTAGTTGAAATAAGCGCCGCACCTATTATAGGGAAATGAAATAAGCGCCGCGGCGCTTAATCAATCATTTACGGTATCTGATCTACACCGTTTCTCAGTGCATTGGCTATCACGATGTGCACACCATACCGGATATAGCTTTTGCGCAGCCGCAAAAATCATACCGGATCTGGCTTCTGATCTGTTCACACACAAGAACTGCTGTTGCGGCGAAATCTGTGACGGAGCGAAGCTGCGCCTTGCCGATCTCTGAAGTGGAGAGTCACATATCAGATAGGTGTTCACCCTAGTTGTTTTGGGGGGGGTGCGTGCGTGGGGGGCTAATTAGAACTATTGATTTATTGCCGTTCTCTGGTTGTCACCATTAAGTATTACACGATTTAATTTTTTTGTTTGTTATACTATACGCCAATATTAATAAGAGCTTTGCTGTTAACCGTGGCTAAATCTCATATATTGAAGTATAGGTTACCTGTGTTACCCACGCTTTCAAAGTAAGAGTCTCGGAGATAGTATCCTGTGGATAGAATCAGGACTTCTATACATTAATATGCTTCATATAAGTTCCAATCAAATCAACTGATCTCGGCTATCCCTAAAGGGATATTCGTGTTAGTCTGTATCAGGGAAGAGTACGGGCGTTGAGTTTAGCAAACAACTCTATTGCGGGCCTTCCTCCCCTTAAAAGAGAGATAGGGGTTATTGCAAATGTTAAAGGCGTTTCCTGTTTTTTTTTCTCATTCAGCGAACTGACGTCGCGTCCACTTTTTCACAAAAATTAAAGCCCCCCTGGCCTTACAGTAACTGAACGTTACGATTGAGGAGGCGTCCTGTGCCGATTCGCGCCCATTACATTGCTTGCATGCAAACGGGCCCATTTTTGGACTATAGGTTCTTTTGATCTCAACGATTAGAAGAATGTAAGACTTAGAGACTAATCTTGGGTTCTCCCACTGAGAAATGCACTATTACTTTACAATCTCCCTGCAACAATTTAACTACTACGCCCGATTGCAAAGACCCATGCAAATGAGACATTGTTTAATGTTACATGTTGCGTCGGTTTGTAGGAGTTGTTGCGCGAAGTTTGAAACCGGTCAAACTTTCGAACCAACAACTCCCAACATCTCTTTCGTTCCGTGATCAGCGAGGTGTAGCATAACAATGTTGGATCCGTTTGCACAGCTCTTCCAACATTAGCCTGCGTGGCAGGCGTTTGAAAGGGAAGGGAAAGGGAGTTTTAGGCGCGAGAGAAACTCGAGGGCCGGGGAGCCATTGTTGGGGCCACGCACGCGCATTACACACGGTTTCCAAAGTCTTTTGGATTATATCCTTCTCACGACGCACTGCAGGTCCCAACATTGTTGGGAGTTGTCGCATCCGTTTGCACACCACTGCCCACACTGACGCAACAACTCTCAACATTGTTGGCCCAACAATGTTGAGAGTTAAGCCTCATAAAACGCAGCCAAAATTTTAACATATCATGGAGACTGTAAGGCTGTACTGTACTCACCACTTTTAAGAGTCTGACAATTTTCATTTCAAAGAGTACCGTTAGCGGCTTCTGACCAAGAATTGGTGTAACGGTCTTGTCGTAATCATGAAGAAGTTCGGCGCGAATCAGATGTTCAAAAGAGCGGTTGGATGAACCTGAAATACCTTCAATGCAACATTTAAGTACCGTAAATAATGTAATTGACGTCCCCTCTCAAATAAACGGCCTCTGTCTCATAAACGTCCCCTCTACGATGTTACGTTTTTATTAGACGCCCTTCTCGGATAAACGCCCTCATTCTAATACACGACTCCATGGCAGTTACTTGCTAAGAGTCCCTTGTTTGTTAGTTTAAAAATACCAAGAGTGGGTGACTGGGTGTGTGAAAGTGTACGGGAGTCGTGTATGGCGGACATTCAATGCTAGCACCTGTTACAGTTAGAGCAAGCAGTTAGAGTGTTTTACCTACAAACAGAAACGAATAACCTGTGAAAGCAGACGTATTTCCGGTCGTCTCTTCTCTCCACCCGAAAAGTGAGAGAAGACCGGAAATACATCTGTGTTCGAAGGCTAGCAAACGAAGGCAAAAACTATAAATAGCAATAAATAGCCAGGGTAATAGCCTCCTGAAATAGCCTGACAATCTAACACGCTATGTAATTGCAGGCGTTCGTTAATGATTCAATAACCCTGCATGATATGGTAACATGGTTAAATGTTAAAAACATTCATCATTCGCATTGCACGACGACTTGTACATGCAATTAAATGTTCACAGTGTGTGAGGAGTTTTTACTTTTATGTTTACCAACTTTTTAGTTGAAAAGATTTTCAATACTGGAAATAATCAGGCATTGAGTTAGTAACAAGTAAGTTAGGAGTTTTTACCCGTTTTAGCTCATTGAAACTTGAGTGTTGTATAGTTGTATTTATAAACACAGTTACAATTAGTACAAATTTTTTCATATTCTTTAAAGCAGGGGGTGATGGAGGAGAATAATACTTTTTTAGTCATGCAGCTAGAGGAAAGGAGTCCGGAAGAGCTCTCCAGCAAATATTACGTACATTTTTCCAGGAACGTTTTATTCAAACCGTTCTGGTTCTCATTTTGAAACAATCAGAGATATTCACGAATTCAACCGTCTGAATTCGATTCCTCTAAATGCCGGTTGAGTACTACTTTTTAGCAACCGCGATGGGTTTTTTTGAACCAGCAGGGTGGGCATCTCTCTGCTGGGCATATTTTTCATTGTTGAACCTATACCAAAGTATTGCATATAGGGAGACAGACCCATTTGAAATAAATTTTATTCCTAAAGAGACAATTTTGGGTGTGTCTCAAGCTTAGTTTGACCCCTTAAGGAGACTATACTAAAACAGGAAACCAAATACGAGCTGTTAATAGTACTTTTAAGTTGACCCCGAATGCTTTCTGACTTCATTTACTGTGCCTGACAAACAGAACAAAAAATCTGCAATTCATTCTCTCTTCAGCAACACGAGAGGCAACCCCCGTCCCTTAATAAATTGGATTCTCTCCGGGTATTAACAGGTGTTTTAGTCTTATTCACTAGAGACGCGAGAAAAAAGACAAATTAGGCAGAAGGAACAAAACACAGAACTACCAAGAACTTGACAAACTAACTCAGTAATGGCATTTGAGCAACAAAAGTAGCCCCGTTAACACGCCACCCAACTCTTTCTCGAATGCAACCCTATTATGCTTAGTTTCCCAACAAAATATTTCTGGAGCATTATAATATTTCTCTTCTTGGCAATCTCGTTAAATAAAAAACGACAAAACTTTTGATTGGTTTGACCTGAATAACTAATATAGAATTACGACTTAGCAGGAGCAATGGAATCGCTTCACAGACACAATCAAGAAATACCGAGAAAATTACGAATTTTGTAAAATACTGAACAGGTGAAAGAAATAGTTCGGTGTAAAAAGCAGTGCAGTGCTAAAGAACTGTTACTAAAATAGGTACGTCACAGGACGTCAAACACACTATCAACGCACAAACTGAGAGTTATAACTAACTGCTTAAACTAATAATGACTCCAGGAACGAAACGCTTTAGTGCATACATACAATTTTACCGAATCACAGTTGGTTGATACACTTAACGAGAAAATGATCGTGCAGATTGACTCAGAAGTTCAAGTAACATTCAGTGATTTAGTTCTACTGTTGTTGCAAAAATTAATCTACTTACCAATAAATAATTGCTGCAAGTATAGGATAAGAATGAGGTAATACATCTCTAGAAAGCCAGAATTTTCTAAGTTGAGCTAAAATGACATCGAAAACTTGCAGCGTGCCAATTTGAACTTGTAATGCTGTTAGCGCAAGAATGGATAGCGCTGTGTTAAGAAAAAAAGGGAAATTTGGTGACGGCCCAAAACCGCTCATTTGTTATTAAAACGTAAAAAACAATGTTTTGTTTATTCCCCAATTAACACCAGTGTGCTTCTCAAACTAAACAGACTGAACAAACCGTTTTTTTCTACCAATCAGAACCAGACCTTAAGACAATGCAACCTTACAATACATCACATTACAAAAATTGCGCATGCTTCACTTTTACGAAAAAGGTGAAAGGTCTTCTGTCTGGACATTTTTTAAGCCAATTTAACAGAGAAAGGAGATAAATTACGGCAAATGTCGCGAAGCTACCATGAAAACAGAAGGTCAATAACAAAAAGCTAAATACAATAATTTAAATACATGTTATGACATTTCATTACATGTGGTAAAAGATATCTAATTGATATCTTGGGATCGCTTGGAAACAAAAGTAAATGGCTGTTGCAGACGACCGGCCATTTTGTAAAGATCATCAGTTGGCAACAGCTACCAGTATTTTTAATGGATAAAGACATGTGTAAAACATTCTTACAGTGTTAGTTCACGTAACACAAATTAAGAGTCAATAAGAACAACAATAGTAACACAACGAAACGTGCAATGTGCAGCAAGTATGTACATTCCACTCCTTCGGAGAAGAAAGGGAGAAGTCAGTGATTCTCATCTCCAGATCCCCTCGTTTGTTTTGAACATGTTGTCACCAGTTCATTCCAAATTAAGCCGAGTGGCATTGGGACGAGTATCCAGTTGAGTCGAAATTGTTGCGTCACCTCAGATTTGAATAAGCCAATAACGAGTTCCAAAAACTCTCACTTTCAAAACGAGGCTAAGTGCAAACCTTTCTTGTGAAAACGAGTTTTACTTGCATGAGAATAAAAATCATTTTCATATCGATGGCTTCACAATTAGCCTGGCTTTGAAACAGAGTCTTGGGCAACTTGAGAATTGCCTACTAAGATGAAGAGGGACCACGGAAGGGGTAAGCAAAGGAATAGTATTAGGGGTGGGGAGGGAAGGGGGTCACAATCACCCAAGGAGTCCCCCCCTTACAGACTACTGTCTTATGTCCCATGCAAACACCAAAGCAATAAAGGACATTCTGCGAGATACATTTATAATGAAACGATCTAAAGATTACATCACTTTGCACTCATAATATACACATTCACGAGATTGAGTTTCCATACATAAGGTTAATATACTGTTACATTACGTGTGGGAGTATCAGTGCCAGAACAACATAATTGGTATCAATAAGACACCTGACCGATTATAAGCGTCTAGACTATCTTTCCATTTAAATTCAAATACCTGAAAGATGCCCTTCACATCAGGTTGTTTAGCAACTAACATGATGCCAACTAAAATACTTCCTCAGTTTTAACATCATATAATTATGCATTTTCAGAAAAAAGCATAATAATCATATGATGTACCAATTATTATATTTAATAATATTTTGTATTACTACTAAATGTTCAGTTGGAATAGTTTCCTACTCTACAACACAGTTCTTCTTTAAAAACTAAAACACACCAGTAATAATATCACATACAACTTTCCAAAACTGATCAGTATTAACCTAACCTAGTCACAAACATGGCATTGAATACTAAACTTTGCTGTGTACTAACTTACACACTGACAAGCCACTAAAAATGTTAAAAACCCTTTAAGTTTCAACCAAATTCTCCACATCATTCCCTGTATGATGCAGTGCAAATGAGCAAAACTAAATTTTGTGATTTTTGCATTTTTTGTTTTTGGTTTGACTCTCACGTTGGCTTATTGTCTCTACATTGCTTAAAGCGTTTTTCATTTTTATATATGTTTCTAACAGTGTGCTTACCAGTTGCATTACAATAAATTAATATTTCCTTACTTATATTTCATAATTAATTTAAGAGCATAATATTCTCACTAAAAATTTAATACTATATTTTACCACTTAAATTAATTTTCTAATTAATATTCTAGTTACAAATTAATATTACAGATAATTAAAATTGTTATTATCATTATCTAATTTAGAAGCAAATCGGTGGCAGGCTCTTCCTCAGATGTAAAGAATGGCGAAATAATATTTCCATTCCTTTTTAACAAGGAGGAGGACTGAAATACTTCAAGGCAGCCAGAGAAAGCCATCCTCCCCCATTACACCACCTCTTGCTAAGTTTCATCAAATTCATTTTGACATTTTAATAAAATATTTTCAAATTAAACCATTTCTTTTCTTGCTCTAGTTCTGATACTGTGATACTCACACAAAGGGACAAAACTTAGCTGTTGATCACTGGCTTGGGTTTGTTACCACATATGGTACTTTAATTCTGACTTTAGTTGTAGACGAGGGAATTTTTGTAGAGCAGCCAAACTTTCCATGGTTAGACAATCACTAAAATTCAAAACAACTAATAGCTTTCTGTATTCTGACCAAGTAGAAGTAATTCAGTAATTATTTTTATTCTGTTTTAGTTGGCCAGTCACTTTAATACCAAGGAAAAACTCTGCTGTAGTTGCTACTCCAGCAGGATAATTATTTCAGTATCTATTTTTTCAGATATTACTGGAAATGTTCAACAATATGCCAGACAAAGTACTGTCTCTTGAAATTCATTTCTGCCCTGTCTAAGATTGGTTGAAACTGTTTAGGAAAGACTCTCATAACAATGATCCACCCTGTTTAGGGCAAAGAGGTCCTGTCCAGAACATCTCTTCTGTAAATGCTATGTACGGCTTTATGTAAGGGAGTTTGTGGCTGAATACTATATTTCAATATAAACCAAAATGTGTAGCTTAACTATTCATAAAAGAAATGTCACTTGAATGTCAAGTAAATGAGGTTTCAAATCTGAGGACAGAAAACTTTTTACCATGGAAAAGTTTTTTTTTAAAAATTCCATCACATACTCTTTATCAAGTGATGGAGTTGGACATTTTGTGACGCGATTTATGCTATGAATCATGTGACAAAATGTCAAAGTACATGTAGATGATTCATGGAAATGTATTCTAGGCATTCAAAGTAAAAATAATTTCCTAATCTGTATGCTTTAAAACATGGGGAATAAAAGTAACAACATGGCAAAACAGAGGAATTTAAATAGTTAAAAATGATGTAAAATGCTTCTCTTATAGAGAAGTGCATTCAGCTGCCCTTGCTAGCTTACAGGCACTCCACTGAAAAAATTTGACGCACATAATACAAAAAATACATACAACAAAACAGGATTAAAAGGCCAGCTGGCAGGAAGCAACCAGTTGACTATAACTTTACAAGTATGACTGAGGATTTAAACTTAGGATGACTGACAGACAAATCCAGCAAGCTGTTAGTCTGGGCAGGACTTTGAAACCAGGACCACTCGATTGCAAGTCCAACGCTCTCACCACTCTGCCATGTTGACTTGTGAAAAAATTATAATGTACAGATATTTTGAATAAGGATGATTATTATTCAGTGGGATATTACCAGTCCATTTGTTTATTTTTCATGTAAGATGATAATGTTAGAAGACATGCTGCTGGGGTGATGAGAAAAATTGAGCTTCTCACCACAAATCCAGTCACCTTTATGATAGTTTGACCTAAACAAAGAGAAAATATGTGTCAACAGCGAGATAAGTCCAAGTTTGCATGCAGCTGCAAAAAATTTGTGAAAAATTGGAGAAATCGCAAAATTTGCTAACATTGGCTTTTTGTTCAGAAACATGCTGAAAATCGCAAATTTTGCAGCTGTAAGAAACCTGGAAAGAAGAGTCAAGTACAGAGCTGAACTGGATCTTATTTACTATCCCAAAAAAGGCCCCACTTGTTCAATACATTACTATCCAGTGGATAATTATTAGCAAGGAAACTTATTGCACCATCCACAAGACAGTGATTTACCCGGTGGATAGCGCTATCCAACCTTTGAACAACCGATCAAGGCCAGATAAATATCTGTCCAGCAGATAAGGGATAGAGATTTATCCGGTGGATAGCATTACACTGACCATCTTTTGAACAACAGAGGCTGGGTCAATAATGTAATGAAGGAGTGCCTTGAAAAAGGCCTCAAAAGATAAACTACTAGATTTTCCTTCCACATCCTTACTAAACAAAAGGAGACTTTGGCATTACATTGTATATTTAGAGACAGATACGGACATATTTTGTGCACCCTTTGCCTGATTGAAATGCTCAACTAAAATGGAAGTTGTGAAAAAGCCCTTCAGACATTTGATTATTTTTATAGAATATGCGCAATAAAGATTATAAATTAAAACACGTATTTAAGGTATTGTAAACTGAAACTATAAAGGGAAGATAGAGACCTGTCAAAAACAAAAAAACCCTACTTGCTATATCATAATATTAAATGTCACACCTGGAGAAACTTAAGTCTCAAGTAAATGGCAGGTACAAGGCCATCAGACAACTTATAATATATACATGTACATGCCAGCCAGACAGGCAGCTCTCTTAGCCCCAGGCTAGCACTGTTGACATGCCCTGCTGACCCTCTGATATTATCTAATATTTTCTGGAACCACACATCGAATGTGTAACAGATAACCTATCATTAAGATGGAGAATCTACTCAAGTAAAACCTCTCCATCAGTACATGTGCTTCCCTATTAAACTTTTTGTGGTTCAGTATTTCAGAAATAATTAATTCTGGCTTTTGCTGTAAAAATCACAAAACCATGAACACCAGAAATAATTGTGGAATGTTATTGTGTTGCTGGGAAAAAGCCAATACGGTATGCAATGGTAATAAGTTTGTGGTTTTGTGGTTTTGTTACCCGTATGTCCTAAATTATTTTTATTGTGATTGGACATTACAAAATCAACATTCCAACAATCAACAATTTTCAGGTGGTTACAGTTTTGATTTGATGAGAAAAGAGAAGTGAAAGACTTACAAGTATACTAGGGGAAGTGTATTGCGACATACCTTTTGGGGAGAACAACTTAGTGGCAAATTTTATTGCTGGGTACAGCCAACATCTCGCACTGGACCAGTTGAAGGTCTAGAGATGTCAATGTTGACGTCATAGTGATATAAGGCACGGTAGCAAACCCACTTGTCTGGAATATTCTGATTGGACACTTTGACGGCAATCACGTTGGTATCAGACGCCAATACATAAGAGACGTCGTACTCTAGCTCAGCCATGGGCTTGTAGTTTTCAGGAAAATCCATTCCTGGGGGTAGATCTAAGACAACTGACAGGGTGTGTGGTGCATCAGCAGGAATTTTGCTGTGAATAAATGGCAAATGATCAATCCGCCAAACGATTGAGCCATACTCTGGTTCGTACATCGCTCTCCCGAGAGAAACAGCAATGGAACACTTGGAATGCTTAAGACGGCTTTTAATCCCTGCAGCACGTGGACCCTTGCTTGACTTGATAGATTTCTCCCCCCTGAATACCTTGCCTGTTCTGAAAAGTGGTACCCAGGACTCTGGAATAGGAAATCTAAACACCACATTGTTTCTGACATATTTTGCCATCTTTGTTTCCTGGCAAACCTGAATTTCAGCCTTAAGCTCGACTTTCTGCTCACTTTGAATTTTCAAGATAGTTTTCACCAGAAGGGGAAGTGGCTTGTGATGGTCCACTGGAAATCGCATAAGTTCAAAGGTACATGCGTCTAATGGGTGGAATGTTATAGCATGTGATTGCTCAAATGCTGCGGCATTAACACATTTATGAAAATCACAACAGCGTAATTTCACCCAGTGATGCACCCGCTGCGGTTTCAACTCGCCTCGTAAACGAGCTTCTTCTCTTTCTCTAACAACAATGTCGTTAAGCACTAACTGGCATTCAGGATCTCCAGTGAGAAAAGCTCGCAACTTAATGAGCACTTTTGCACTTTTCCTTAGTATGGTGCCATCTCCAGACAAAATGATATTAGCTACATCATCAATATCAACAAAGACCTCATCATGACGGTATGTTATACCCCTGTCTCTATATGATGGAAGAAGGCGAAGCGAGTTGTTAAAGGACTCAAGAAGTTCTCTAATAACTACATGACATGGAGATGCGATCTTAATGATTGGGGTACCCTGTGCTATATGTTCAACAGTCCCGCGATGGCGCAGACTTCTCGTCTCAGTATACTTGATATATTCTAACTTCATAGTATGAACTTTAGCCCCATGTTCAAATGATTGTAATTTTGGTTCGGTAAACACAAAATAAGCTTGAAGAGGAATTTCTCTAAAGGGTGCTGACAATTCATACTCCTCAAAAATTTGTAGTGTCATTCCCTCTAGCTTGATAACCACCGGTTTCCATTCACGGGAACCAAACTTACGCTTCTTGTCAGGAAAGCGAAGAAGCATTGACCATGAACCACTCGTTACAAGCTTTTCTTCAAGAAATGGTTCCTCAGTTTTCTTTGTAGGCTTCTGTTTATGGCCATGTGCAACAATGGCTTTGCCATCAACTTGGTCTTGAACAGCAACAAAGTCAGAGTTCTTGTCTGCTGAAAGCACTACCGTTGAATTGTTGACTACAGGCCCAGGTGCTGCCATGGCCATACTCTCCATGCCGGGAACAGGGACGAGGTTTAGTGTAGGGTCAGGACTCGAGACAGCTGCCGGTCCATTGTCAGCTTGAAATGGATTAGTAGTAGCTGGCTGAAACGGATTGCTACCTGATGAAGGCAAGGCATTGATAAATGGATTTGGGCTAGGCACATGACTAACTTTTGTTTGATTACCGCTTACATCCAGCTCTAACAATTCCAAACGCTGTTCAACTTGGGTGGTAGAATCACCAAATGTCACCCAAGATTGTGAATTGACAGCTGAACTGGAAGAACACTGTTGCATTTGATTGTCAGCACTTTTGGACGAATCGCCAAATTTCATCCAAGACTTACTAGCGAGAAGATCTAGTTCAGCCACAGTAAACGACACAGGAGGCATGACAGAGGTAGATTTTTTTTCGGTTGTATCAACCTCCAGCTCTGTAACTTGTGGCGATTTAAAGTCGTTGCCAAGCGGATCACGCCTCAATGTTGCTAAGCCGCCAACTCCGTTCTCCGCCGCTGAAACGCTCGAATGCGGTTGTTGTTGACTGTCTTTTGAACTTCCATCCTCGCCAAAACTAACCCAGTTTTTGCCCAGATCAACTTTGCCTTGATTCGCGGTTTCACGAGATTGTTGGTGTGGGATCGATGATAAATTTGCATGGGCGCTGTTGTTTTCAACAATAGGAACAGCTGATTTCATACCATTCTCGGCGTTTGAGGCCTTGGAAGCGATTGTTGCTTGCTTGGTAGACGAAGAGTTCGTTTTAACCTCAGTTACAGACGTATTATTGGGGGTAATATTTGTGGTTGCTGTGGCTTTTCGCGAATCAAAAGCCGCCATATTCGAGGTGGCCGATTTCAAGGGCAAGTGTGTGTGATTTTCATCCTTTGTTTTTACCAAATGCTCCGTTTTTTCGCCTTTTACAGCCTCATCTTTCGACGATAAATTATTATCTTGGCTCTCCTCAAATTTAGTCCACGCTGACGAAGAAACAGTAATCTTATTGTCGGCAATCTCCTTGGATTCGCTGCTGGCAGCTGCGGCCTTGCTTGAATGCAAATTCGAATTCTCACCATTCAGTTCGAGTCCCGCGCCATCTGTCTTCTCTTTGTATAAATTGCTTGGCTGGCTAGAAGCGTTTTGAGTACCTGTATTCGGTGGTGAAGCAGATTTACGATCATTCACAGCCGTATCGTTTTTTCGATCAGTGTCTGTTTCTCTTGAATTCCCCGCATCAACACTTTCGTCATTAAATTGCCCACGATTACTTATCGCGCCTGGTGATCCTTTAAAATTCCCGGATCCCTCGTCTAAATTCTCCTTAAATTCAGTCCCTGCGACTCCATTCTCCCTATGAAGAGACGACTCTCTCTGTAAATGAAAAGATTTTTGCTCACTAATTGAGTCATTGTGTTCAGTAAATTTGCTTGCCGCTTTGAGACCAGCGGAAATCTCAGCACAATGATCACTAACTTGTCCATTTTCTTCCTCGAAATTCTCCCATTCCCCGCGGTTTACGAGATTAGATGTTGTTCCACTGCTGTCGACCATTGTTTATAGGTAGATAGCTTATATCAACATCACTTCAACTTGGCCAACTAAAACTCGCAGGCAAGTAGCAAAATACACCGCGCGTCCCTCAATAACATTTCGTGATATGCTGCATCAAAGCGAGGCGGTGAAACTTTCCCGTCTCCTCCCTGGCTTAGTCAGAGATTGGACCACACACTGAGGGCGTTTAAAGAAATGGAGATTTCTTGAAAACGAAATTCTAAAACAATACATGATATCATTAACGAAGAAAAACATATACAGATAAACTGAATAAATAAATTAGTGATAAACGATCGTTGTTTTCGCGGTATCTTCTGAGCATCGCTCGATCAGTATCGACTCAAGATGATGTTACGGGACGATTCACAACGAAGATTTTTAGCGCAACACAGCGTTGCAAAGCTGGAACAATTTTGTAACCATTGCGCTAAAATTTGTCGTTGCGAATCGTCTCATGCAACATCACCTTTAAATCACCGGCCTTTGGACAAGACATTGAAGATCCAAGACAGGTGATTTTAGTCATAAACTTAAGAAAAAATTTAATTTCTTAAAATAAAATCCAAAAAAAAAAAAAAAAAACATGTATCACAGAAAGTGCTAAACTATGTTCTAAAAAGGTCGAATTAAGTTTACCTTAGTAAAACTTATTCGGCTATCTGGTCGAATTTTAAGAATAATATTTGCAACACAAAGAAAAACAGCTTGAAACTTACATGGCTGCTAAGTAAACGTTTCGTTTTGGTTATGAATCCAGAAAGCAAAAATCTTGAGGCACATAAGTTTTTTGCTGTTTCCTCCTCCTCCTCTTCTTCCTTTTTTAAGTTTCCTTTTTTTGGTTTTTATTGTTCTGAATACAAGATGCTGTATAAACCAAGAGTTTTTAAACTGAAGCCTTATAAAGCGTCTCTTGCAGCTTTTAAAAAGTGACCGAAATATTGAACAGGAAAACTCTTAAAGTTTTAATTTGTCTTGACTTGAGCACGCCTACGGGTCGTTATTATAAAAACACTTTACTTTTCTGTATAAAGCACCGGTCTTTTTGAGTCACCTGGTTATAAATTAACCTCGAACCAATTTGCAGAACTGAAATAAAATTCGTTCCATTATGAAGCGAATACCTCTCAATCAGTCTCAACTTCCGCTTTTTTTCCAGAATTATAAAAACAAATTATAGCCTGTCTTTTCACTTTATCAACCAAGGTAGTGTCTTCGTAAAAAGTAGTGAGCTACAACTAAACCTGGAAAATTTCCGCTTTATATTGATTTCCCAAAGAGACGGAATCCTACTCAACTTCCAACCTACTGTACATTATAAACGGGCAGACTAACATTTTTATTCGCGTGCGCGATTAAAATTATTACTAACAAAATAGAAATTGTTTCTAATTCATTTAAATAGGCGTCAGTTGTCGATCATGATCATTTACTACCAACATGACCTAGTTTTCTAATTTCTGCTTGTAAACTAATGTTCGTAAGCGTTAATATTTCTAAAAATATGACACTTGTAAAAATGACTTCAGGTTATTCGCCTAACACCTGCTTATATATGTGTCAACAGTACACAAACCTATCTTGAAAAATGAATCTAAATCTTGATTAATTTTCAAAAGTTACGGTCACAGTATGGCACAACAGTGAATGTCGTTGATCCATTTTAATAGTAGTTATTTCCAGTACAGACTCTAAATTAGACTTTTTCAAAGTCCTTCGCTTCTGATAAAAAATCTACCGCTCGCGCTTCACGCTCGTGAAAAAATTTCAGCTCGACTTGTGGGCAAGTCTAACTTTAAATGAGCAATTCGTAAAACATAACAAAGTGCTACACAGAAGCTTTCATTTTTATTATGGTGGATAAATTAAAGAAAACACGAGAGACGGCGAAATTACACAGGGTTATGAGAAGGATACACTAAGAAATAGCATAACGAGGTCATTTTGCGGATTTTGGCGGACGCGCTTTCACGCTTATTGATTTGTGTTTTCTATTACTAACGAGGAAAAAGCCATGCAAAATATCTAATACATCACGTGCGTCTTTTTTATGTTTAAATTTTTTATTTGAATAATGTCGTGATAAATAAATAGTGTCATCAAAGTTTTAGTTTCTGTACAAATATTACTCTTAATTTCTATTCACAGTTTTTCATATCTAAGGTACGTTGTTGTAGCACAGTCTCCAACATCAGTTTACAAATTTAGCTGGTGCAAGGCAGTGAAAAAAGATGCGAATTTGCAAGCCCAGACAATTCAATAATAATAGTAACAATAATAATAATAATAATAATAATGGTCTTGTTTCGATGCTGGATTCATAAATCACTTTAGCAAATCCTCAAAACATCAAGATCGACATCATGTAAAATTGCAAGTCTAAGAAACACGTTTGAGTCCTTTTTTTGGTTCAAATTTGGATCAATGAATAAGACAATTCTCTTAAAATGTGACAATCCATCTCCTTTAGAAGTAAAGCCTTTAAGATAGATGTTCATTTTTATTGCTGCATAAGTCGTTTTCTTCATCTGGAACGCTATTTATTAAACCTTCTCTTTGCTCAACGTCCAGTGTCCTGAAAAATTTTAATATACACAAAACTGTTAACACTGAGTCCATTATTGAGCCTGCGCAGCAAGCGTTTGCGATCGAGGTATTGCGTGAGGGAGGTAGCGAGAGAAAAAATGGAAGTAGGGAGTAGGGGAGGGGAGACGTTCCAATTCTCCCCTCACCTTCCCCCTTCATTTCCCATTTTTCGCTCTTGTTCCAACTCTGTCTACGACGGAACACTTGCGACGAAGGCTAAGAGTCCAGTGAAGACACTATAATAATAGCAGGTCTTAGGAGTTTCATATAAATGGTCACACGACACGATTCTTTCACAAACTAAAAAGGTAAAAGCTACAACATAAGGGTTTTTGCATTACTGACTATTTCAGTGAAAAAAAAAAAGCGTTCGGAAAGAAAGTACTGTAGAGTAGACCAGTCCTCAACAAGACTAACGTAAGCTGATGTTATTTTTCTGGTATTTTAGGGGAAGAAACGAGGAAACGTCGATAAAAAATACCAGTGAGAGCTTCACTACTTACTCATCTTACTTACCCTCTAGTCATCTGTCGTCTTCTAACGTTCAAAAGTTTCTTTAAGCCGATCAAGATGGGGTCCCAGTCTCCGTAATGTGTAAGTAAACTCACGGCAAAAAATGACGCAAAGGCGGGTATGGTGCCAAGTAAGAACATCCACGAAAAATGAACCTACAAAATAAGAAACACCGAGAATACTTAGCAATAATTGAATGGAGCGGTGACGTTTGAGGAAAGACAAATTCATTGTAACAGTCACGTTTTCGCCGTGTCGCGTCTTCGTTGCTAAAGCTCCGTTATATAGCAGTGATCTTACCCTCCTCATGAACACATCGACACACATGGTCAGCGGTATAATCAGACTCAGAGACAGCGTCGCTGTTAATGATGACGTCAAATAGCAACCCCTGGGAAACGATTCAGGGAAAAACTGTTATTGATAAGTTGGAAAATGTCCAAGTTTTATGCAATGATTGAATAACACAATTAAATCATTAAATCATTATTTAATCATCACAGTTATATACGCAACTAAAGAAAGCCTGAATAAATTTAGGCTAGCGTAAGACCCGAACTCAGAAACTGTTGGACTCAATACTGGGGAAAGCTGAGTTGACCCTGCAACGCTCAGCTGTGTCATTGGCTAAGTTACTTTTTCAACCAATCACATTTGCTCGTGCGAGTTTTCCCGCGCTTTTTGACGCCGGCTACACGTCCTTGCTTCGGACTGTTATTGGCTAAGAATAGGCTAAGATGGGTGCTGAGATTGGCCCAAGTATATGCTTTGATTTTTACTTCAGTGCCACAGCAGTCAAAAAGTAATTGCTGCAGTCACGTGAATCCACTGTAATCACCAATGTGTAAAGTAATATTTACCAAAGCCATAGGAATTCTGACAGCACAGTTCCAATGAAAGCATTCAGAGCTATGTAGCCCCACACTGTTGCACTTGGGGGGAGTTCAAATACTTCTAACCGTAAATAATTGAGGAATAGAAATCCTGGCCAAAGAAGGAAAAAATTAAATGCTCCAACAAGGCCTGCAATGATTAAAATAAGAGACTATTGTTAGAGAGCCGTTGGGAAATAGGTGCATCGGATATCTCCGGAAGCAGAAGAAACGTTAAAAGTGTTTTGTACCGGTATGTCAAGCGCAAGGCCAGCAAACAAAAAATTATGGTTTGAACTGTTGAGGAGCAACAAACACAAAATTTGTTTGCAGTTCCTGGCCTTTACTTTCATGTTGTTAGTTTGCAACCATTTGACAAGGCGGCAGCGTGCAAAGAAAGTCATGTCTGATAGCCCGGGGCTAGTGGATTTTGCTATTAGGGCTAGTGTTTTTGGTTCTTATCTTGCCCGGCAGGCAAGTGCTGTTTTTTGGGGGAAATTCAAATTACAGAAGGATTGTTATCAATCCTACCAATCAAAAAGGGTTTTGGGGCTAGTTGAAATGATTTGTGGGCTAGTACATGCTATCTACAGCTTGCCTGAATGGCAGGCTGTAAAACTGACTTTCTTTGCACCCTGCAAGGCGTTCATGTTAATTTACAAAACAAAACAAATGGACCAAGATGATGTCAGCTACAGACCAGCAATGAGACCCATGACAATTGTTGGCTACCTGTTGACTAACAGAGAGCTGACAGATCATTGGAGAATCTGTTCATCACAAAATATCGGAGACAGCTATGAAGAGGCAAACCAATCAACCTGTTCACCTTTTCATCAAAATAAATAAATATTATTATTGCTTACCAAAAAACATTGGAATATCCATTTGTTTCTCATCAGGGACTTTGTGTTTCAGCATAATTAAATAACAGGAATACCTAGTGAACAACAGTACACAATTAGTGCTAAGAAAGAAGCGGTGTCATAAAAAGAGAGAAGAGTAGCTATTTAACAAACTCACAAAAATGCACTGGCCAGAGCCCATAATGCTCCCACACTTATCCCACCAGCTTTGCTCTTGGAGTCAGAAAGTGTCACCAACACTATCCCCGTGATGCTATCATGTTGAAAAGAAAATATACATTTAGAGTAACATTAATATCGATTTAAAGCAAAATTCTATTGTAGACACCTCTCTCATATAACATCATAACAATAATAATCATCATCATCATCATCATCATCATTCTCATCATTTTTGAGGCAGGGTTTCATGGAAGAAGAAGAAGAAGAAGAACATCATCATCATTAATATTATCATCATCATGTGGAGGCAGCGTTGCCGAGTGGTTAGAGCGCTGGACTTGTAATCTGGAAGCCTTGAGTTCAAGTCCCGCTCTGACCACTAGCTGGATTTGTTCAAGGCAGTCCCAAGTTCAAATCCTCGACAACACTTCTGTCTACTTTGAATTGTAAATAGCCGACTTGTTTCGCCTCCTGCCAGTTGGGATTCTTAAACACATTATGTCCTATTTGAACTATTGTTACATTATACCTGAAAAGCCCCATAAGGGGAGTGGGTAATTTAGTATTTATTTATAATAATTACTATAATTATTATTATTTATCATCGTCATCATCAACAGTGACAAATTGTGTTTTAGAGCTTTCAAAACTTCCATTGCTTACAGTCCCCTATTCATCTGTAAGATAAGATCATTCAGATTGAATGCTTATTATAACTGGTAGCCAATGTTATACAGGGAGATATCACTAAGATTTCAAGTTTCCGGGTAAATACAATAAGCAAGCAGGGAATCTTTTCTTTTCCTATGAAAGTAGTGGGGAACAGGTTTATGTAGCTGGAGGAAATCCCCACCCCCAGCACTTAATGACAGCCATGGTTACAGATTCAAATGTACCATCTGAAAATATCTGGGGAAGAGTGTTCGATCAACCTAGCTACATATTAGCCTGAGCATCAGACCCTCCTACACCTGATACTAAGGCTACCTAGCTATAGACTTTGAAACCCTCCACTCACTTCGCAGTAATCTAAAAAAGGCACTTCTTTACTCATTATTAACTAACTCACCTCATAAGAACAGCAAGTAGTTTTGTGATGGAGAATTTATCAGCAGATGAACTCTGGAACACAGATGCTAATATGAGTGTAAATAACCCTGGAAAAAATTCAAATTAAAAAATACTATTACTTTAATCCATCAAAAAGTTGTCTTTAAAAATGAAGCATTAAATGCATTGATCTGACTGAGAGTTAACAACTTCTCTCTCACATAACAAGAAAACAAAGTCAACTTTTCAAAGAAAAAAAACAGACGTCATCTAAATATAAAATTTTGTTAAGTGGCAAAGAGAAACCTGAAAATTAGTGCTAAATGGTCATATCACAGAATTTTGGCCACAATGATGCCAAATTTGCATGTAAAAGGTGATAAAATATGTGAAGGTGTTGGGGAGCTCTCTTGTTAAGTGAGTGCAGGTAAGATGTGAAATGAGACAGCACACATTACACACTGATAAGCCTAAGCCAATGCAAAAAGAGAACAAAAACCCCACTTGAGAGGCTAATTTTAGGCTAAGGAATACCTATAGCAAGTAATCTTACCTGATGAGGATGACAAAATATTTACTGCTGCTGGTGACGTGTGTGCAATGGCTTCCTGATAACTGCAGTTAGCACAAAACCACTATGGAAGAGAAGCTAGTCAGTAGAGAAATCTACTAATGATCATTGTCTCCAACAGTGAATGCAAGAAACTCCAAAGGAAGTAAATGTTTAAAAAATATTGCAAGAAGGGCAAGGGGTGTGCAGGATGTTAAACATAGTCACCACATATTTCTCTCTTCTGTACGAAGTGAGTGCAGGCACAAAACTTTTTGCCAATTACTGACCAAATTTTGCACTTGGACCCCCCCTTTACCATGCCCCTTTGAGCCTCTGCACAGGAGACAGACCAGAATATTTCAAAATCTGACTTCAAAATGTAGCATAGTAGTAGGTTTGCCAATCCTGATGTAACTACTTGAACTGAAGAAACACCCTGAGACACAACCTCTAGTTTTTACCCCTAAATGGTTTTACAAATGGTGATCATAATAGTGAGAAATATTCATTTTACAATAACTGAGTGATTTCTTGTGCAATGATTGGTGGAGAGCTTTGTTTGATAAACATGCAGACCATGGAAATGTTGTGATGGTGGCACAATTTGTTCTTCTCTGTCTTGTATGTGCAACTTTTCAAGAAATTTCTAAGGAAATGGATGTCAAAACTCTCAATGTTATTGTAAAAAACAACTTGACAACAATTTTTCATAGTCTCTACTGTTATCAAGCATGGAAATGACATCAAAATATTAAAAACTTTGCAGTGAAACCACTCACCATCAGCTCATTCTTGATTTGTTAACTTCCCCAGGAGAGAGGGTTTGGTCACATCACATGGACACACCCTCCCTCACCACCTAACTACTTCAAAAAAGCCTTACAACTCACCAGTAAGCAGAATAGCAAGGCAACCCTAGCAACACGATGGACAGGAAGTTTCTGATCTTCACCCAAGTGGTAAGGAAGTCTGGTCAGCCTTGCCTGTTCAGAATTATGGTCTGAAAAATGCCAATTTGCTCCATTTAAAACATGGAAATTTTTCATGATTGAGCTGTAAATACTCTCCAAAAAAAGTTCCCTAATAAACCAAATTACATGTATTTACCTGATAATTGCCGCACTTCTCTCACACTGCTAAATGTCACCCGCCTAGGTCCTGTTATATAGTTAAGATAATGAGTGTATTAAAGCAAGTGACCAATATTCAAAATATTTTTCACTTGATTACCACTTGTAAAATTACCTAATTCTGTTATCTGATTTTGCAAAGTATTTGCAGTTGATAGTGTACCATGCATGTGATTAAAAGTTAACATTAATTTACTTTAAATTTAGGCAATGACAATGTTGGATGTGAGTCACAGGGCACCCAGACTATTAGTAAGCACTAGGTAAATCTCTCTCCAAGGCATGTGTTTTTAACTTACTTGGAATTATTTCAAAGGAACTACTAGCTACTTCAGCTGATCGGCTGGTTGAAATTTCTTCGTCTGTCATTTCTTCAAAAGTTGGCTCATTCTGACAATTAACAAAAGACAGTAATGAAAACTGCAGGCCGCAGGCAAACAAAGTTTAACCATTGTTACTAAGATGAAAGCGATAGTTTTCATTAATTTGTTTTACCTGGGTATTTCAACACTGTTTACTGGGAGAGTGTCAAGAGAAGTTTGTAAAACAGGTGACGAGTAGTATAGGTACCATTAGGGGGGTAACGAGTCATTCATTTTGCTATTTAATATTTTATCTTATTAATATATGGTTGTTATAATTTCGAGTGTTTGCACAAAAGTTTTATGAACTGACGGTCACCATACAAGTGAAACCTCTCTATTTCAGCATTTTATAACATGAAATTTATGAAATTTGTTGAATTTTAACTGTGGCTTCCTTTGGAAGTTTAAAACGATGTAACTCACCATTAGTTGTCTTGGGATTGGGGTAGTTTCCCCTGAGGATGAAGGTGAGTTTAAAAGAGATGTGTGTTCACTGTCTTGATTTACAGCAGATACCACGACCTGAAAAAAAAGGTCCAGACAAAATGCTACAGCAATTCATCCAGTTTTCTAACCCCTGGGAAAGGAAAATTGTTTCATGTTTGGAGGACAGGGCTGCAAATAATTTCCCGGCTGGCGCCGGTCAAATTGTCCGGTCAAACCTATTTTTGCTCGGACATATCCCATTTTTGGCCGGACAAACATCGATTACGTCTTATTGCTATAAAAGTGCCTCCTCCCCCCTTCACGTGATGTTTAAATATGAAACAAGTAAATTTTCAAAGCATTTATTGTACGTGAGCATCGATCTCAATGCAGGAAAAGTGGAACGCATGGTACAGCAAAATCTGTATCACGTTTGTGCGTACTACTATTGCTTCAGTTCTGCGTCTTATATACGGTTAGTTATGAAGTTGATGAAATTGACTAAGGCTTGCAATCTAGTTGATTTTAAATGTTACCGGAAACAGGGAAGCTCTATCCCTAAGATGCGTGATTGAACTTTTAAAATACAATAATGGAAGAGTTCTTTTAGACATCCGAGGACATCATCTTACGGAAACGCAGTTTGGACACATAACAAGGGAACACCCGGATGCACTGGAAAGGGGTTTCGAAGATGTTGATGACTATGTTCACATGTTACCTGTTTAACTGAAGTCGTTACATACCACATTGACAACATTTGTAAAGGATTATTGCAAATACAATTTCTTTCTAATCCATCGTGTTTCGACCTGTCAACGGTGAAACTTATGGGATTTTTGCTTCAGTCAAGTACCCACGCATCATGCGTGACAAGTAACACAATGAAATCTGCGGTCAATCGTTTGAGATGAATCGCGTATTTAGACCTATTTAGGCCAGGTAAAGTTTACATGTTGTCATATCTGAATTTGCTGCTAAAAAGGTTTGTTTCCCTAGAAAATAGAATGTTTAGTTAATCGCGGTATTTAAAGCTTAAGTGATTAACACGGAAATGTCGTCAAGTAGACAAATGAATGTAAGCTTGCTTTCTTGTTATTGTTATTTTCATGACCCTTGTACCGACACTGAGAGGTTTTGTTGTCCTTCTCACATCATGTTTACAAAACCCACACGGACTAATAATAAAGTAATTCACACCCGTGACCGGTACACATTACCCTGGGTACCAGAGGTTTTTTCTCGCGTGCGTCGGGGAGCTTCGCGCGTGTTCGGCCGAAGGCCGAAGAGACGAGCGGCCACTTTTTAAGACTTGACCGAAACCGGAAACCGCGCATGAAAAGCCTCTGGTACTCAGGGTAGGTACACATCGTTAAGACCCGCTAATTTGCGGTGACGACTTGGTGAATGACAAAGCGAAAATGTGCAACGACAGCCGGAAATTTTATGACTACTACGAATCATTTATTAAACGTTCCCTGTCTGGTAGTTAAGTATCCGTCTGTTCCCTTCCTTTTTCACAAACGCCAATAATATTAAACCTTTAAATATTTAAAACTTGAAACTCTAAATTTTTTCCTTACCAGCGTAAACGACCGGACAAATTGTCCGGCCATCTAAGGATATGCCCGGACAAAACCAATTTTTGACCGGACATTGTCCGTTGACCGGCCGTTATTTGCAGCCCTGGAGGAGCTTTAAAAATTTTAGGGTAAGATCACAGATTTTAACTGAGAAAAAGAAGTAGGTTTTAGATTTTATAATAGAGAGTTGAACAAAACAGGAGGTAATTCAAGATAAGGAATCAGCTGCATTTTCAAGTGAAAAAAATTAAGAGATGCCAATAGAAAGCCCTACGTGACCTTGAATTAACTAACAGATTCTCTATATTGCATGTGAACTTTAATGTGGTGACCCCCCTAAATATGAAAAAAAATATTTTGAAAGTTTAATTTGCCAATTTGCACATCACCCCAAATAAACCTTATTTGCTTCCCCCACCGCCCTCCCCAAAAGTTGCACACCCTTTGTTTCAATTTCCACCTGAGTATTACAGTCATCTCACAAGAAGTTGGAAAAATTACAAAAATTTCAAAAATTGGGAGATAAACAAGTTGTTTTATGGGAGCTGTGCAAATGGCAAATAATAATCTAAGGATCTGCATAGAGATCATAATGTTCTTTCTTGTCACTTACATTTGAGGATGTTTCATTCTTTAAGCATGCAATACATTGAAGCCTCCATGGCTCATAAAAAAGAAATCCAGTCAAATATATCATAAATGATGATGTCTTGAAGAATGTGGTGAAAAAAGGCTTGTCAAATCCTTCATATTTGAAGATAAACTGCAAAGAAAGAGGTTTTGGTCAAAATAGATGTAAGTATAACTGAAAACTACATTCCTAACTCTGTGTAAACCATAAAAAGCAGTGAGAATGTTGATTAAGACATACAATGGCTCTTTTCAGAGCCACCCCGGTTCTTTTCAGAACCACCAAATCTATAAAAGTCAATGATCAACAGCAAGTGTCTTTTTCTTGTGTTTTTTAAACTGTAAGTTCTTCTCAAATTGTGATCTTAAGATTTTGTTACGTGAAAATACTTGGCTATAAGACGCACCCCAATTTTAGCACTAACTTGCCACCCAAAGACAGATTTTTCTTGAAAAAACCGTGCGCCTTATAACCGAATCACTACGGTAAACAAGATTGTAATCATTATGGACTTACTGGAGATCTGGGCAACATGGTTTTTTGACAGATATGAGAGAGTGAAAGAATCTTTAACTTACACATTCCACTTCTTATTTACACAACCCTGCGATGCCAGCGATGGTGACTATTTACTGTATGTGTCTAGTGGAAAGCAAACTTGGGTTGGGGGGCTGGTCTGCAAAAAAATTTTTTCAGGACTTTGGGCCTCAGTTTGGTCTGAAAATGCCACTGCAAAGGGGTCAGAACTGTGTTTGGAAAGGTAGAGAGGTTATGTGGTTGGTATGCTGCATTGAAGACATAATCTAACTCCAACCGACTCAATAAATAATGGGAAATGGATTATTTATCAGTTATTTGCACAGTCCCACCAGTTTCTTGCCATTCTATTTATTAGGCAAACCATTAGAAAAGCTATGGGAGGAAGTGGGGAGAGGGAGGAACAAGCACACACACACACACACACAAAATTAATGCAAGGGAAAAACAACTAAAGAAATAATGGACATGTTAACAAAAACATTCATGCAGCTCAAAAACTTCCCCACCCCTTCCATAACTTTTCAAATTAATGGTCCACCCCCGATAAAAGCAACCACATCAGCCGGTTTACATGCAGTGACATCATGGTAAACATTTTGGTAGTCAATAACGAGAGCATTTCTCTCTACTAGAAACTTTAAACTCTGTTCTCATACAAATTCTGTGTAAAAAAATATGTGTATTTTGTATTGATCACCAAAATAGCAACCATATCATCTGGCAAGGTTGCTATTTTGCAATGTTCTGATGAAACGGCTTGCTTTTAAATATTTGGTGGTAATTTTCGTACGCTATCTAGTAACAAATTATTGATAATTAGTAGTAAATTTGTTCTCACATCTGTCAGTTCTGACGAGCCGACCCAAAGAACGTCCACCAGCAGTAAAACAACAACCCCCAACAACAAGCGTCGTCTCCGCCTAACACTCTCATCCTGTGACACAATAAACTGCACTGTTGAAGCCCACATCGAACGGAAGCAGCAACAAAGACGACTGCTACTTGCAGAAGACATCTTCGATCTTTAATTCTTTTAAAACTTAGTACGCTTACTTCGCTGTGATTTAACCCGCAGACGAAGATGTTTCATGGTACCATGACACTAAATAAAGACAGAAATGAGTTGAGTACAAAAAAAATTGACCGGGATTATAGGAAAAACGCTTTTTTAAAAAATAAAAATGTAAAAATAAAAAGACTACTGACCTTCTCGTGACATGGCCGCCATCTTGGATTGCCATGGTTAAACGCGGGCTCATGTCCCAGGCCTCCCCAAACGAACTTAGGGAATTTCTGTCTAGCTCTTTCTCGCTGTTTCACGGGTTTCATACTTTCATATGCACAAGAACAGCGAGTAAAAACACCCAGAAGATACTCATTCACAGCTAGAACGACAGCACAACACCCAAAAGGGTTTATTGCTCCCAAGCTTCTTACCCGGGGGAGGTACTCAACAAACGTTTATACGGGAATGCTCCGCCCCGAGGTTCAACCTCGTACCTTTTTATATACCATTTTTCACGAAAAAGTTACCCCTTTTGTATACCTTCTATTGACAAATGGTACCCCTTTCACATGAATATACTTTGCTTCTTACATTATGCAACCAAATGATCAAATTATCCAAAAAATAATGCGAAACGTTTCACGTTTACTTTATTGATTTAAGACACTACAACCGACAATGCATAATATGTGAACATATTTTACTCACTTTTTAAAGCTTTTTAACTTAACGAAAGCCTTTTTTTGTATAAAATAGGAGTGGCGAAAGAAGTAAATAAAGTTTACTCTTTAGGAGAATCATACTATGAGAGTACATGTAAATCCACGACAAGTACCACTCCCTCGAGGAGGAAGCACGCCTTCACCTCCTTCATTGCGACAAAAACTGAAAAGAGTCAATGTTTTAAAATGACATGACATTTCAAGAAAATCTTTCGCCACCCCCTTCATAATTTGCAGCTATACATTATGACTACATTGTGGAATATACGTTTTCATCGAGAAAATAACTAGAAAATTTCACCACTGTCTCTGATACCCTACATTCCCTACACAACCCTCCGGCCTAGCTGTCTACATAAAGAAACAATTATAACCTACTGTAACTACGTGGCATTATTTTTAAATCGATGCGATATTAGTATGATCGTAGACCGCAAGCGGTCGTACCTTCTCGCCTCAGAGCCACGCGCGGCGAGAGAAAAAAGTAAAATTATGCAAATTAAAGCTTCCGCCCACGCATGCTCTCAATCTACTACCGCGATACCGACTCAAAAAAATGATAAGAGACAGCTCGCAGTCTACATGATTGTAAACCAGTGTTACACATTTCGATAAATGTATTAACATCATGGTCATTGCTGCCTCGCAAAAATAACAATAAAGGCGGTTTTCTAGCGTTACTTCTAAACGAAATAGACTATACAGTAAAGTCATTCGGATAGGACTAAAACGATGATTTTCCTCTCACAAGGTTAAATACGGGCAAACATTATCAAGGCCCTTATAGCGATAATGCTACAAAACAGAATATATTCTGATTGTAGGTATTTGCATGTGCAGCATTTAACTGTACGAATATTTACATCGACACTGGTAGAAATATTTGGGGTCATAATACCCTCCCCCCGCCCCCTCCTGTATAGGAAAGTCACATTCTCCAGTAAGCGTAAACTTGTGTAATGGAGAATATGAGCTTTTTTCTCACATTTTCAATAACAACGCTTGTATCAAGCAGACACTTCTTTTGAGCGGATAATGATCAACACAAGCTAGGGTCGGTAACCGCCCTTCCTTTTAAACCCTCATATAAAAGAATACAAATCAACATTTGTTGTCCTTGTACATTTCCAAAATGGTAGCCTGTTCTAGACTCGGAGGCCGGAAGCGAAAGAGTGGGGAAGATGCGAAAGCCAGGAAGGTACCCGAAAAGGGGGAGGGGAAGAAAGAAAAAGAAAACCCATCCTTTCCCCAGTTTCCTCCTGCGCTGCGTTCTGAGGGCTTAAAGGGCTAATATAGGTTTGTCTTAACATGTCATTACTAAAGAAGCCTTGAGTAAGATCAAATGGTAAAAAAAATCTTTAAAATGAATTATAAACGTATCTAGGGCCTAACGCGAAATTAACGGCTATATATGTTAATGCACTAACATTTCTGTAGAAAAACATTATTGCTAATAATTATTAATCCTAATGACTATCATTGAAGCTCTCTCTCGCAGTTTTTCTACTTGGCTGCTGTATTCATGTTGTTTTATAAGATGCAAAAATAATTTTATGGAGTTTTTACAGCCAAGAAATTGTGCTTCCTAAGACTAAAGGAAAATACTTAGACGTTTTTATTGATCTCAATCTTGATCATCACCGCATCACCTTTAGAGTACTGTGGGGTGCAAACCATGTCGATGGGCTCAAACTCTTCGTAGCCATACAAGGTGGTGTATCGCCCGGCAGCCGTGGGTTCCTGAAAAGCTCCCAGATTTCCGTTAGCCGTGAAAGTGCCACTGACATCGTTACAGAACCTGTGAGCATCGTTGCTTTGATCCAACAGGGAGAGAGATATTTGCCCGCCGAATGGCCATTCGAGCCTGTTATCCAAATCCCCCTGCATCATGCCAACAAACAGGCCAATGTGTCTTCCATCTCCACCATCAACGCCTTTCGGGAAGATACGCATGAAGAACTTGTACCCACAAGGGAAGCTAGTGTAAATCGGAGGACTCTCAAGTGATCTTATCTCTCCATTGCTTGCGTCCTGGAGGAGCTGAGAGAAACTCTCTATTTTCCAAGTATAATTTCCACGACAGATCTGACCTTGAGTTAAGAAATGCTCTGCTGGACTTAACCTGTTGAGGGTTGTTTTATGAGTGGTAGCATGAAGAAAAAAAAATTGGAAACAGTTACTAACAAACTTGGATGCCACAGCTGCCTGAAAATGTAAACTTTGACCCCTCTACGAGTATGGGGTCATTTTGACCTTTTACCTGCGATCCAGCACAACCCTGATGGATAAAACGACACAAGTGACAAGAACTGACCAAACTCAAGATAGGCCTCGAGTTAGTAACAACACTGCCATCTGTGCAACATAACTGAAACTTGAGATGTGCTGATCAACAGAGAATGAGGTTCGCCTGATCGCAGGTTATGACCTGTAATTTTCCGATGTTTACTTAAAATTTCACGGGTTTCTTTAAACCCTTACTAACACGTATTGATGAAATGAGGTAGGTAGCAACCACAAAAGAGAATCTCAGAAACTAAACTGTTAATTAAACGACTCATGATTTTGCCAAGTATACTGATCAAATATTGCGATTCCGATCATTTCCAGGAGTAACATGACGCACTGATTACCAGTGGCCAGAGAAAGAAAGCTCTCGATCGTTGAAAGAAATTGGGGTGTAGTGCGGAGTGTTCGTTTACTGACCTGTCTAAAGTCTGCTGTCGAAGAAATCTGGATGCACGCATGCGTTCACGTCCTTGATTCTGCTCCGGAAATTGGCTGGTCTCCTCGACAGATCCAGAACACCCGATTCCATCGTACGACTCAGTTGCAACAGTCCATCCTCGCCTGCAGTGCATATTAGTAGTTGGTGGTCTAGCCCCAGCCCAATCACTGAACTGTATTCCTCTAGCCATCTCCGCGTACTGCATCCGTTGTCTCCCTCTTGAATGCATCTGATATAAGGGAACCTCTTGCAATGGATTGAAATTCAAATTCTCCGCAATTAGCTCCCTCATCGGGAGATGAGGATATCTTGGTGGCACAACTGGCAATGGTGAGATGCCTTGGGGATCCATTAGCCCATTGTGAAAACCTGCAGGGTTACGCTGACTAATAAAAAGCTGATGAGATCCTTCTATCTGTTCCCCAGCATGAATGAGATGATTCACTTCTTCAGTGGGATGACCAACGATCGCCTAGTACATAAAGTAAAAATATGTGTTTCTCAAACGGGCGAAGGGGAAAGTTATCAGTGACTCAATTCCTTGTCAATCTATGTTTTTTGATTTCGAAAGTAAATTCGTCAACAATAGTAACTAATTTACATTCGCATAAAAGCCACCTTATGCCTTTTGATAGATAAGTTATGGGTGAAAAATTTTGCATAAGGCATAAGGTGGGCTGATAGAGAAAATTTGCCAGCGCCGCTGAAGGGGAGGAGGGTGGGGAAACTTGCTTGCCCGTTGTAGAGTAGACTTGCGAGAAGACGGTGAATTTGTTTGCTAGGGCGTATAAAAGGCCTAGGAAATTTCCCTGGGGACCGTAAAGGACCAATAGACTGCTTCCCGAGGGAGCACGCAGTAATCTAGTTGATTAAATCGTCACGCGGCGGCTTTTATACGAATGAGAATAGTAACTAATTTACATTCGCATAAAAGCCACCTTATGCCTTTTGATAGATAAGTTATGGGTGAAAAATTTTGCCCGACACCAGGGGTGCTATAGACTCATCCAAAAGACGGTAAATTATTGCAGAATACCTCATTAACTTGCAGTACAGTCAAATCTCCCCGAAACTCAGAAAAACCCAGAAAAACTCCCTTAGAGAGATGGGCAGTGTTGGCGTAATGCCTCCCAGATGTGACGGATTCAATTGAGGGGAGTGGCCTGGCCCAACTGTGGGGCTTTCCCTCCCGGATACGCTAAAGGAAAGCTGAAGGGTGGCTTGCAGCATGTGTAACCCGGTTAGAGAAATCCGAATGGGAGGAGATAAAAAAAGAAGGAAAGACCCTACGAAAGAGGGAGGCTGGGAGGGAACCCCACAGTTGGGTCGAGTCAGGACACCGTCCGAAGACTGGATGAGGGGTGTGTTTAGGAACCCCCCTGAGCACGACTCAAGTGTGGGGTAAGGAAATATAGGAAGCAAAAGCCAAAGAAAAATATAATATACAAGGAAACTCGTGCAGATTTATAAAGGCTGTACGCTAGAGTAAAGAGAATGTGGTTACCGATATCTAGGAGTTACGTCACCTTCTGTTTCTGCTATGTGACCTCTAAGATCACAAGTGTAATAGGTGAAGAAGAATAAACACAATATAATAAGTGAGACGTCTCAAGGGAACAGCTGCGAGGGGGCACGGAGTATGCTGACAAAGCAATGTGCAGAAATTATACAAAATGTTGACAATACAACGAGTAGGAAACGAACGGGAAAAATAAACAACTGGCCACCTTATTCTAAAATCTTTCAATACATAAACGTAAAATGCCATAAAGCATCAAAGACTGTAGACAAATGTACGATGGACGGTCGCGAAGTAAAGCCAAAGATGTCTGTTCGTCATTGTACGTTTCACAGACGTTAAAGGGCACCAACGAAATTAAAAACATGCCACCGAACTGCGTTGGTGAGATCTTCGTTTACGTTTCACAAACGCTAAGAAGCGTCAACGTAATGTCTATCCCCTGATTGTACGTTTCACAGACGCCAAAAGGCGCCAACGTAACTGATTAAAAACATGCCACTGAATAGAGCTGCTAGGATCCTCCTTTACGTTTCACAAACGCAAAGAAGCGTCAACGTAATGTCTTTCTCTTCATTATACGTTTCACAGACGCCAAAGGGCGCCAACGTAATTAAATACATTCCACTGAACTGCACTGTTGAGATTCTCCTTTACGTTTCACAGACGCCATGAAGCGCCAACGTAAATATGTTCCGGCTCGTTTTCGTTCTACTGTAACAGACGAAAAAGACGCGACAATAATCAAATAAGGGTCGCCTTACCTCTGATACGTCGCACAGACGCCTAAAAGCGCTAACGTAAACAAACTCCAGAACAGAATGGTGAAAAAGACAAACGCCACGTATGTGACAAATTGACAAGAAAAGGGGGAAGTGAGAAATTAAAACATGATACTTAGGTGGATGGTGTTGGTGCTGGTTGAGGTTCTGTCGAAGCAATAGCTACCGCGTCAGCTGGGTCTGGTTAAAAAGGGACGAGAGCCATGAAAGAGCTTCAGCGGCGCTGGTCGCGTTGCGGAAGAATGAAACTTGCTTGCCCGTAGTAGAGTAGACTTGCGAGAAGACGGTGAATTTGTTTGCTAGGGCGTATAAAAGGCCTAGGAAATTTCCCTGGGGACCGTAAAGGACCAATAGACTGCTTCCCGAGGGAGCACGCAGTAATCTAGTTGATTAAATCGTCACGCGGCGGCTTTTATACGAATGAGAATAGCGATTCTACCTCGTCATCAGTCCGAGTCACTACGGAGTTACATGAGAAGCATGCGCATGCTTATCTGGTCATTGCAGTGCTGCTATCCGGTCAGTCAACACGGGTGTTACTGCACGGAACAAAATTTTTGTTCTTTACGACAATAACCTTTTACGGTTCATCCTACCTAAATCTCTGCAGTAAGCCTGATACACATAATTGTCAGGGGTCGCCGTCTGTGAGTATTTTTTGTTTAGAATTCGCTTTTGTGCCTAACCCTCTTTCCCGCCAGATTAGATACCGCACAATGGCGAGCGATCAGATTGATACTGGCGCTCCTGCGCTTTCTTCTCAGGGCCCACCGGACGCAGATCCGAACCCACCGGGTCAAGATCGAAATATTGAGTCCGCCCTGAGGCAAATCAACACCAACATGGGCACGATGACTCAACTTTTAACCGACGTGTGTGCGCGCCTTCCCACGACCGAGGCACACCGAGCGGCTAGTTCCTCTTGCCGAAGCCCACCGGGCACAAGGCACACAGACCAAAAACGGCGGTCCGATTCCATCTCCTCCGTTGAATCATCAGACAATGAACATGAGCCACGGTGAAAATCGAGGAGAGAGGACGATTCCCTAAGCCTGCATGCAACAGATGATGACGTTGCACAACTATTTGCCGACCCGGCATCAAATCCCGCAACTGTCACCGACAACACGGATACAGCGGGCGAGGACGAGTTACTAAAAGAACTTGTAACCTCCTTACAAGAGGAAGACGCAAAAGGGCCAAAAGTCCAACAACAGCTGGCCGAAATTGCCAACAAAAGATGGGGCAATAAGCTCAATTCGGACAAAATAAATAGCATTCTGGGCAAACACCCGCAGCCAGAAAATTGCGAGGAACTGGGGATCAAACGCGTTAATCCTGAGATCTGGGCGTCCCTAAATGCTGCCAAAAGAAAGGCAGATTTACGACTCGCAAACATGCAGCAGGCCCTGCAAAAGCCACTTTCTCGATTGTCACGACTTGCGATAAACTTTTGGCCGTAA